ACACAAATGTCTATTATTCAATTAAGTAATGGAAATTTTGTTGTTTTTGATACAATCGAACTTGATGATCATCTCAAAAAACAAATAGATAAATTAACAAACAACGGAGATTTAATTGAAGGCGTAATTGGTACACATCCATTTCATACACGATCATTTTTATCTTTTTACAAAGCCTATCCACAAATAGCTTATTATGGTACGCCAAGACATTTACGTCAAATGCCACAAATTCCATGGTTAGGTGATCTTCAAGATTGTAATGTAAGACAAAAATGGGAACCGGATGTTGAAATGCGTATTACAGCTGGTAAATATCGATTAAATTTGATTTAGTTCATATTGAAATGATTATTTTTATTTTAGGCGGTGAATTTGTCAATCCACAATTTGGATCTAGTCATCTGATGAGTGTATTTATTTATCATCCAGCATCACGTACACTTCACGTAAATGATACTATTATGTATACAGATAGATTCAATCAATTTCTTAAATTATTTGGAAAATCTGATGGTATTATGATTTTTCATACATCGATTAAAAATTGTGGTTTACATCCAACAGCCGATGCTCCATATTTATTTCGAGATTGGATGCGTAATATGTTGAATGATTGGCCATTTGACAATATATGTTGTGCACATTTAAATATCAAAATAGGTGGAGCACATGCACAAGTTACTAAACTTTTAGATAAAACAGAATCATTATTTGTTAAATTAAGCAAGAAAAATAAGAAGAAAAATCCAAATGGTGAATTACCAGTCGGTAATTCTCCTAATACAGATGTTATTGGAGATGAATGCGGTTAATTTTCTTTTGAAGGAATAAAGATAAAAATTTTGTATTAATGTATTTATATCACTTCATTATTTGTTTCGAAATATTTCTGCAGATCTTTCATTATATTTAAATAAAATGATTATATTTAGCCAAGTTAAAAGAAGGTCACTATTTTTTATTCATTTTCTCTATGGCTTAGCTTTTTTAATAGCTTTTCATTTTATGATATCACATTGCTTTTAAAAAGCTTACCATCATTCATTTTA